ATGCCTATGATGGGACTAGAATTCCCAGACTCCTGGAGATTGGTTCAAAGACATCCCGACCAGCTTCCATATCTAAGATAGGACTAGAACTCCCAGTCTCCTAGCAATTGTGCCAACGTCGTTAATTAGTTTTCATGCCTAAGGTGGGACTAGAACTTACCATCTCCTGGTGATTGGATCAAAGTCATCCAGCCAGATTTCATGCCTAAAGCGAAATTCGAACTCGCCATCCCCCGATTTCTAGGTTTGCCGCTTAACCAGTACCGCTAATTCATTCGCTGATTTCATGGCTGTTTTGTTGGTCTACTCCGGCAAGCATTTGAATATTCCTGACAAAATTGGGCCGCGGGGGAGCAGAAAATATTAAAAACAACTGCAACCCTGGGACACAACTAATGAATAATGAGATTTTGCCTTTAGTCTCCGTCTTATGGAGTTGGCAACTAACAGCTCTTGAATTGATTATTCTTCCCAAAGTCCCTCTTGACCCTCTCGTACGCAGGCTTGCTGGAAACAAGATTCTCTTGAGTTGACAGCAGATGAAAACTGCAGTGTAATCTTTAAAACAGGAACACAGGTACTCCACAAGTTACAAATGCCTTCCTAGGGCCTTAAGTCTGTTTTTCTAACCATTAAATTCCATTTGTTGAATAAAAGTCCAGTGTTCAAGTCTGCCGAGATCCATTTGGATCTTGAGCCTATCTTCTGGGGTGTTGGTCGTCCCAGATTTTGATGAGAAATCTGCAAATTTGATAAGTTCTCCTTCTATCCCCTCATCTAAATCGTCTGTGAAGTCATTCAAGAGTACTGGGCCTAAGACAGAACCTCAGGGTACCCCACTGCATGCTTATTATGTAGGTGCAGTTCCATTCTGGACTACACATTGTTATCCCAAGCAAGAAGTTTGATATGGGAAACAAACCTGGTGTCAGGGTTCCCACAGATGCCCTAATTAATTCATGAGCCTCAAGCTAAGTTTCAAAAGAAATCCAATTATTAGGAGCAACACGTTGTCACTTTCTGAAGTGCAGTCAACTCTGCCCTATGTAATGACCCTGTTTACCCCTTCCTGTTGTGGTTAGCCGGCAGCAGGTGCCGACGATGGAGGAGAGCGAGGACTCAGATGAGGAGCCAGGACCATTAGGGAGTGAATTGCTGCCTTCAGAGATTGTGGGGACTGGTAGCAGTGACGAGGTTCCTGAGGAGCCTGTGCCAAGTGCGCGTGTACGCAGGATTGCTCGTAGGAGCGAGCAGTTAAAGCAGCATGGGTGACTCGGGAGTAAGACTGCAAGGTAATGGTCCCTCCCTCAAGAGGATAAAAGCCAGGTTTGAAGAAGCGTTCTTTGCAGAAAGCAAAGACGCTCTGAAACTCAGCCTCATGGACATTATAGTTAGTATTTGAAAACTCCACTGTAAACTATTTCTTATCTGTGGGTTTTTGGCAGCCTTGAAAAACAACTTGGCAAGGCTCTTTCTTGTCGGAGCTAAATTAGTTGGAAGCAGCCTTTTATCTGTGAAGAAACAGGATTCGTGGATGAAACCTTAAAAAGTGGGGGCTGCTGCCTTTGTCTTGTGTTTGCTCTCTTGGAACCAGGTTGGGTCAGAACACTTCCAGGGTCTGTCATAAATCACATTCTCCAACAGAGCACTTTCTCAATCAATACCACCTGGAGAAAGGTATGCATGGTATGTATTTCTGGACTTAGCGACCGAGCTGCTCCATCAGTTCTCCAACCCCCCTCTTCTTATGGCAACTCGAGAACAGGCCAGGAAGGCTTTACGAGTTGACACCTGGGTCTATAAAGCAAAGATCAATCCCCATTGGCTCTTTTATGTCACCTGACCACTGATATAACTGCAGTACCACCCACTGTCAACAGAGGCGCTCAAACGTAACACTTGATAAAGCCACGGTGCCTTCTAATGGTATTAAACAGAATTCCAAACACCGTTTCTGTCATCTTCGGAAGCCATTTTTAGCACCGGAAGCTTCCATACTGCCATTCTTGAGCCTAGGTAAAAGGGAGGGGGGGAATTGCATGGAGCGCATATGGTAGACATAATAGCATTCTTGTTTATAAAGTCAAGGTCATGTTGTTCCTGCACCTGACTGAGAAGTAGAAGAGAGGACATCTCAAGTTGGGATGAATGGTGATTGGGGCATGTGATGGACGGGTGCAGGGATTGGTTTTATAATATTTTATTTATTGGAGGAAAACCTGGACCTTTCAGATTCGGGATTTCCCAGTTTTCTATACTAATAAAAGGCAACTCTGAGAATATGTCTGATTTGGGAGTTATCTGTTGGGGTAGAGTTTTTCTGGAACATTGACAGTAGTATATTCAACCTTTTCCACTGGAGATTTTTAACCGATATATTTCAACCCTCATTTTCAGCCGCGAAGGGTTTGCGTGCCGGCCAAAAGAAACAAAACCGAAGGAAATTCGGGAAATCTACAAAGGCAAATAACGAAGCGGTCGCCGTTTTAACCAACAATCTGATTTCTTTATTTGAAAAGGCACAGCTATTACATTTTCAATACAGAATTTTGTCTCAGTTCCTCTTAATATAGGGTCAAGTGATTAATAAACACACGGAGCCAACAAGATTTTTCTCTCTCTCATCTCTGTCTCTAAAAGGAATATATACAAACACGAAAAAAATTCTCTTTGTCGTAAAATTTTATTTGGGGAATCGGAGGAAGGAAAAAAAAAAAAATTAAAAGGTGGGAAGTAGCATTACGGAAAGATAGCAGAGCTGCAGGATCCTTGGGGTGTTCTGGGCTGTTTGTTTTGTTTATAAAGAAACGGGAAGGGGCATATCCACCCCTTCGCATCCTTTTCCACCCCCACATCCTCAACCCCCTGAATTTCAAACCGTCCGGCTGAATAATCCAGCTGAGAAAAAGGAGTCGAGCCATCTTTCGAGAGAGAGGTTCCCAAATCCCAGCATTTTTTTTTCTATTTTTTTTTTTGTAACCCGAAAAAAAGGAGAGCAGCGAAAGGAAACAGCAAGGCAGGTTAAAAAAAAAACAACCCAACAACACGCCATTGAAGAGGTTCACCCAGAGCCAGAGATACCCAACTAATATATTTATATATTTATATATATTTATATATATATGTATATATATATAAAATTTTTGCTTCTGTGCTACCTTAAAAACAAAGAGAGACATGCATAATGACAAAGGTGCTTGCTTAGCTAAAACGATGCTGGTGGGAGCAGAGGAGGACCAGCGAGAGAGGAGTCCATTGGGCAGGGCAGGAAGGGGGGGTGTCGAGGGAGGTGGGGGGTGGGTGGGTGGGGGCTTTGCAAAGCCCAGAAGATACTGCTTGCGAGTGTTCGGGGTGAGGGTGTCAGTTGGCGATATGGATTTCGCAGAGAAGAAGCCCCCCATCGGCAGTTGTGAGCTAAGTGCCGCCAAGGATGGAGAAAGCAAATTAAGCTACCGACACGTGGCGTCCAGTGGGATCTGGCGGTTTGCAAATTAGCCTTGTGGAGATAGTCTGACAGGATTCCCCCCCCCACCCCCCACCCCGGAGTCAAACTTGGCTTGCTTTTCAAGGAAATCATTCGGTGGGACCGGTGGCTGCTTACGTTGACCACCCAAAATCAAACAAGACAACCCCGCAGTGCGGGACGGTCTTTTAAGAGGTTTCCCCATCCTGTTGTTTTGAGCGTCCTTGAATTAGGGACGCAACGGAGAGGCCCAGAATTTCCACAGCTAAGCAAGACAGCGGTTAAGGGAGTCGCTCCCCTGATGTTATTACCCGTTTGCCTGTGGCCGTTAAGCAAATCGCTGCGGGGTTAAGTGAATCTGTGGGGTTGTATTAAAGGGAAAATCCAGCTTTCCTCACCAGTTTCGCTTTTCGGAAGCCAGCCGGGAAGGTCGCAAATGAGGATCCCGGGGACGCTGCAAGTGTCATAAATGCACGCCAGTTGCCTCAGGGCCCGGATTCTGATCACGGGACCACGGGGATGGCCGTATGAGTGGGAGGCCGTTGCCACTTTGGTCGCTAGATGAATGGTTGTTAAGTCTAGGACTAGCTGTAATGTGTTGTAATGAACGCAGCTGGTGAGGACTTGGAAGTAAGGGCGAGTTTGCTGGATCTAGGATTATTTTTGGAAGGTGGGGAGGGTCGGGGGGGGGGTTTAACCCACAAGGGGGAATTTGTGCTGTTGGGAGGGCAAGCCGAGACCTCTATGACTCTGTTAGAATACAGGTAGTCCTCGGCTTACGGCCCAAACGGAGTCCAACACTTCTGTTAAGCGAGACATTTGTTCCGTGAGGTTTGCCCCGCGTTACGATCTTTCTAGCCGCAGTTGTTAAGTGAATCACCGCAGCTGGTAAGTTAGTAACCTGGTTGTTAAGTGAATCTGGCTTCCCCACTGGCTTGCCTTAAAAGGGGATCTCAAAGACCTTGGGACACACTGACGGTCGTAAGTCTGAACCAACTGCCAAACGCCTGACTTTTGATCATGTGACCACGGGGGCGGGGGGGCAGGGAAATGTTGCAAACACCGTTAAGTGTGAAAAATGGTCATAAGTCACTTTTTTCGATGCCGTTGGTAACTTCAAATGATCATTAATTGAACGGCCGTAAGTCGAGGACTACCTGCATCCAAATGGGAAGGGTAGGGGGGCGGAAAGGGGGGGGGGAGATGGGGGCGGGGTGCAACATGCGGGGACCTTCGTTCTTTGCATGTCAGCCGTTTCTCTCCATTTGGGGGCATTTTTTGAGAGGGTTGGCGGAGTTGCCCTCTCCCAATGGAGTCTGGCCTTGCCCACTGGGAGAGGGCACAAAACTATGGGCACCCGGTGGGAACCGGGTGCCACTGCACCAGGGATCTCAAATCAGACAAGGGATGATGGTTTTCTTTGCTGGGAAGCTCCGTTTTTCAACGGTGGCCATTTTAAGAACCACGGACTTCAACTCCCAGCATTCCCCTGCCAGCAGTGATTGGCTCAGCAGCCATGAGGCAAAAAAAAAGCTCATCCAATCAGGCGTGAGTCACTTCAGACTACCTTGTTAGCAAAGGGAAATTGGGCCATCAGTCAAGGACAACCTGTACAAAACAACCTTAACGCCCTCCACACTATCCACCTAGGTCAGAAGTCTCCAAACTTGGCAACTGGCTGAGGATTTCTGGGAGTTGAAGTCCACAAGTCTTAAAAGTTGCCAAGTTTGAGGGACCCCTCACCTAGGTCATGAGCCTGAGGGATTCTGGGAGTTGAAGTCCACCCATCTTAAAGGGGCCAGGTTTGGGACCCCTGACCTAGGTCATGATTTATTAAAAGTGAGGCTGGGGGATTCTGGGAGGTGAAGTCCACAAGTCTTAAAGGGGCCAAGGTTGAGACATACAGGCTGGGAAGGCACCAGTGACTGGTGTCCCCCCCCCCCCACACACACACCTGTGGCTGAAAAGTTCCAGCTGTGTGACGGGAGGGGGGGGGAAATTTCCAGAATCTCTGGTTTCTCTGTAAATCTAGGATCAGGCACAAACCCACATCCTTCCTTCTTCCCCTTGGATAACTAACCCAGTTTGTTAAGTTTCTGGCCTGACGACGCAAGCCTGGCTTAACCTTTCGGAATGAATTTAAAGGGAGGAGGGGAGACAGAAAGGGGGGGGGAGGCCCACCCCCTCAAAAAAAGGATGCAAAGGCCCCCAATTCATGCCTGTTATGGGGCTGGAATGGAGGAGGGGCAGGAAAAGGAGGGGGCTAAAATGTTATTGCTGCAATTTTGTCTCAACCCACCCTTTGAAGAACCGTAGTTTGCCCGCCACCCCCGAGAATTGGATTAAACGCGGTTATCTTCTGCACCACCACCCCAGGATCGCCCCACGCTGCCCACCGCACCCCCGGACTGGACGAGATCCACCTAGTCAGATTTTTCCCCGTCGTCTTCTTGGTGGGCGTCTCCGTCGTGCCCGTTCTTGTCTTCCTTGCAGAGGTGGGCTTGGGAGCCCAGCGCCGAGAGGGAGAGCAGGCCGGTGCTGGCGCTCACGGCGGGCAGGGAGGGGGCCTGCAGCCCCACAGAGAGCGGGGTGAGGGGCAAGGCCAGCGCCTGCAGCTGAGAGAGCTGGTGGGCTTGGAGTTGCTGCTGTAGGGGAGACCCGGGAGAGAAAACGAGACGACAAATAAAAGAATGAGACACTTTCATCCCCCCCAACCTTCGCCTCCTTCCAATCGCAACTGCTACAAGTCGTCTTCGACTTACGACAGTTCATTTAGTGACTGTTTATAGAGTTACAATGGCACTGAAAATAGCAATAGCGCTGAGGCTTATATCACAGGGCTTTACAGCCCCCTCTAAGTGGTTTACAGAGCCAGCCTACGGTTCCCAACAATCTGGGTCCTCATTTTACCGGCCTTGGAAGGATGGAAGTCAAACCTGAGCAGGTCAGGATCGAACTTAGTGGGCAGAGTCACTCTGCAATACTGCATTCTCACCACTGTGCCATCATGGTAGTTCCTTCCTTCCTTCCTCCTCTCTCTCTGTCTCTTCCTTCCTTCCTTCCTTCCTTCCTTCCGCTTAGCACTTATATTTATATACCGCTTCACAGTGCTTTACAGTCCTACATGGTTTACAGAGTCAGTCTATGGCTCCCAACAATCTAGGTCCTCATTTTACCCACTTCGGAAGGATGGAAGGCTGAGTCAACCCTGAGCCGATCAGGATTGAACTAAGTGGGCAGAGTCACTTTGCAATACTGCATTCTCACAACTGTGTCACTGCAGTTCTACTTTCTTCTTCCTTCCTTCCTTCCTTCCTTCCTTCCTCCCTTCCTCCCTCCCTCACTCCCTCCCTTTTCCAGTTAACCCTTAAGACTTATAACATTAGCAATTAAAGAACAAGAAGTGAAATATTATATGATATGGGATTTATTTTATCAATGGTTGGAAAATAAAGTAAGAAGTTAAATGAATATTGTTATAATGATAAGGTGTATAAGGTTGAGCAATTTTTAACATGAATGGAACCACAGTAAGAAATGTATATTAAATATAAATAATTGCACAAGATATATGTACCCAGTCGACACACTGTGTAACTGAAAGATGGATTTCTTGTAAAATAAAATAAAAAAATCTTAATTAAAAACAAAAAAACACTTAAGACTTATATACCGCTTCACAGTGCTTTTACAGTCCTCTCTAAGCGGTTTACGAGTCAGCCTATGGCCCCCAACAATCTGGGTCCTCATTTTACCGACCTTGGAAGGACGGAAGGTTGAGTCAACCTGGAGCCTGGTGAGATTTGATCTGCCAAATTGTGGTCAGCCGGCAGCCAGCAGAAGTGGCCCTGCCCTACTGCCCCTCTAACTGCCGCACCACTGCGGCTCATAAAAAGGTGACTTTACGACCATTTTTCATACTTATGACAGTTCCAGCACCCTCGATTCTCGGAATTCAAGTCCACACATCTTAAAAGCACTTACCGGTAGTCCTCGACTTACAACAATTCACTTAGTGACCATTCAAAGTGACAAGGGCATTGGAGGGAAAAAAAAAAAAGACTTACCAATGTGCCTACCGTTCCCTATCCTATTGGGTTTTTTCCCTTATATGTATCCATTTTATGTATTCATAACTATATTTATACTTATACCTGTTATCTTATAATCGCTCGACAAAATAAATAAATAAATAAAAATGACTATTTCCCCACGATCACGTGATCAAAATTCGGAGGCCCGGCAACGGGGTGGGTGGGGGGGGTGGGGTGTTGATGACGGTCGCAGTGTCCCGGGGTTCACTTTTGCGACTTTCTGACAAGCGAAGTCAATGGGAAAAATCCGATTCGCTTAACAACCGTGTTACTAAACTTAACAGCCTCAGGGATTCGCTTAACGACAGTGGCAAGAAAGGTCACCCAAACCGGGCAACATTCGCTTCGCCCGCATCTCACTTAACTCCCCCTAGAGGTCAGGGGTCCCCAAACTTGGCAACTTTAAGACTTGGGGACTTGAAACTCCCTTTCAATTCATTCTGAAAGGTTAAGCCAGCATCAGAATATCCACGATGCGTTCTTAAACTGGGTTATTCCCTCCCCATACCCATCCTGCTTTCTCAGGCTTTTTTTGCAAAGACTCCACACAATGTCTTGGCTGTCAGGCAAGAAACTTAACATACTGGGTTAGTTATCCAAGGGGAAGAAACTTAACATACTGGGTTAGTTATCCAAGGGGAAGAAACTTAACATACTGGGTTAGTTATCCAAGGGGAAGGAAGGATGTGGGTTTGTCCCGATCCTAGACTTACAGGAAAACCAGAGATCCTGGAAATTTCCTCCCCCTCCCATCACACAGCTGGTGCGGGAGGAGACCACTCACTGGTGCCCTCCCAGCCTATGTCTCAACCTTGATCCTTTTAAGACTTGTGGACTTCAACTCCCAGAATCCCTCAGCCTCAACTTTACAAAATCATGACCTAGGTCAGGGGTTATGTTGGCTGTGGAATTCTGGGAGTTGAAGTCCACAAGTCTTAAAGTGGCCATGTTTGGCTGCACACACACATGCACCCGCTCAAAATTAACAAAGCCACGTGCCCATCAAACAAGAAGATATATGAAAACAGGGAGCGCTTCTAATGGTTATATATCCCCAAGACCCCACCCCTCCCATCCGTTCTAACAAAAAGAGCATCACAGACCCGGATGATGGAATTCAGTTCAGGAGCCGTCACTTGTTTGGCACGCTCGATGGCTCCCAGGACCTGCTGTTGGTGCTGGGGGGGGTGGGTGAGAGGGAAGGGGGGAGAAGGAAGAGAAAGAGAAAACCATTAGAAGATGATGTGAACCGATCAGCAGGAGGATCAAAGGCAGAGGGGAAAAAAACAGACAGTGTGGTTTGATGAGCCAATTTGTGCCGGAAAATGGCGTTTTCCATTCTTAACATGTTATCCAGATGTTCGGACTGGATTTGGCCCTTTTGGTCCACCTCTGGAGTCCTTCCCAAAGACCTGGGATGGGCAGATGGGGAATGTCGGATGGGGTTGAAGGTACCGTCGCAGGATGTCAGCTGTTCCAAGCAAGGCTGCCTTTTGGCAATTGACTGGGTTTGTCAATGCCGGTGATGTTCATGTGTGCCAGATGCTTTGGGGCTGCTATCTTTGCTTGGCATCGTTATGATTCTGCTAATTCTCCCTTGTTTACCTCCACCGGGAAACGCCGTTAACTCAAGAGGGACCCTCCCCAAATGCCTGCCGTTATAACCCGAGAGCTTCCCAAGGCATCCTTACCTGAAGCAGGCAAGGGGGAGATTTGAAGGGGGTGAAGATTCAGATAGTGAAAGCCCCGAATTAAGGCAAGCGGAGATACCCGACTTTTCAAAGCCAAATTTTCAAAGCCAGCATGAAAGCTGGCTGGGTGATGCTGAGCCAATCACCAGGAGAGTGTGAGTTCTAGTTTCGACCTAGGCAGGAAAGCCAGCTGGGTGATTTTGGACTGCCTAGGGTATCATAAATTATCAGAGGCAGCTCTCTCTGAGTGCTAAAGTTCACTAGAAATGGTCACACCAGTGGAGTCGCTGCTTATGGCAGTGTCATGAATCACTATCATGGAAATAGTGAGTTCTAGTCCAACCTTAGGCATAAAAGCCGGCTGGGTGACTTTGAGTCAATCATTAGGAGACTGTAAATTCTAATCCTGCCTTAGGTATGAAAGCTACTTGGTGACTTTAGGCGAATCACCAGGAGGTGAATTCTAATCCTACCTTAGGCATGAAAGTTGCTGGGTGATTTTAGGCCAATCACTGGGAGGCTGTGAGTTCTAGTTCTGCCTTAGCATTAAAACTGCTGGGTGACTTTGGGCCGTTCTGTAGGAGACAGTGAATTCTAGTCCTGCCTTAGGCATGAAAGCTAACTTGGTGACTTTGGGCCGATCACCAGGAGACTGTGAGTTCTAGGCGTGAGAGCCTGCTGGGTGGCTTTGAGCTGATAATTAGGAGACTGTGAGTTCTAGTCCCACTTTAGACATGAAAGCCAGGGTAATCAGGAGTGGGTCATAGTTCTTATTGTGGGGAAAACAGGAGGAGGAAGGGATGTCGGATATTTTCGCTGCCTTATTTGTAAAAACAATAAAAAGTGGGATATAAATAAATTAAAGTCGAACGAATAAAAATAAAAGTTCCAGAGCAAAGAAAGGGGAATTTACCTCTTGCGACAGATATGGCAAAACCTGGGCACAAATGCCATTCAACCGCTTGACAATTTCAGCCTGAAATGGAAGATTTAGACACAAGGTTAACCCGGAGAAGCGTACTCCAATCAGCTGCTTGGAACAAGGCGACAAAAATACGCTAGTGCATTTATGTGGCAGTGACAACCCAAACTCCAAAGCCAATGACACCACTGCAGCATTTTGCAAGGGACATCGTTAACAGTGTTTGTCGGGACAGGCTGCAAAACGACAAAAGGCGCATCGGTTGTGTCTTTTGCGTGGTGCGAAGGTGACACACGCTCCCTTTTAGCGGGCCTTCCTGAACGATGGGCAACGTTTCTGCCTTAGTACATCGGTTCAAAGACGCATCCCAGGGAATTCATCGGGTTTCTGGTTTCACACAAACACTTTTGAACTCTCAACACCGATTCGTGGAGGTTGGATTGTGCGAATGCACGCAAGTCTGTGTGCTGTGGGGACCATGCTAGCTTTAACAAAATGAAAACTATCTGAGGTAAAAAAAAAAAAAAAAAGCAAAAAACAATGCCCAAAGTAAAGATGGGAATTATGTAGCCATTCTCAAACTGGTGATTTAAAGATGTATGGACTAACTCCTAGAATTATCCAGCCAGCCATTTTGGCCAGGGCATTCTGGGAATTGAAGTCCACCCATCTGGGGGACTATGGGAGGTGAAGTCTACCATCTTAAAGCACACTCACTGGGGAATTCTGGGAGTTTGAAGGCCATCATCTTAAAGCCTGCTGGCTTGGGAATTCTGGGAGTTGAGGTTCACCCATTTTAAAGCTTCCTGGCTAGGGAATTCTGGGAGTTGAAGTCCACCCATCTTAAAGTCGCCATTTTGAAAAACACTGATGCAGATAGTGGCCAACAGAAATTTCCCAAAGTCCCCACTGAAAAGGGGAAAAAGTCTTTGGGGGATTCTGGTTCTCCTAAGAAAGGGATATGGGAATTGTAATTGTACAGTATTTTCACACAATTCAACCTCACGGTAATTTCTCAAAAAGAAAAGAAAAAAATGCAGTCAGTTTCGTGGTTTAACAACCGGTGTTAGAAGATCTGACAGAAGTTTACTGGGCTACACCAGTTATGGGCAACTATGGCCCTTTTACACCTGATGAACATTAACTCCCAGAATTCCTGAGCCAGTATGATGTGGACTTCCACTCCCAGAATTCCTGAACCAGCATGGCTGACTCAGGAATTCTGGGAGTGGAAGTCCACAGGTCTTAAAGGAGCCACAGTCATTCATTCCCAGGCTGCCCAGTAGCCTCAAATTGCATTTTATTTTTTTAAAAAATATTAAGACAAGAATAAAGAAATGAGCTGGGTGGAGCTCATGAACCCCTCTTTTAATTAAATTTGTTTGCCTCCTCACGGCGTCTTGAAAAGACCAGGTGTGATCTGCAGATCGTTGCAAAAGGAAGTCAGAGCAGGTAGAGGATGACACGCAGATCGGATTAGCTGCAATTTAATTTAAATGTCATTTAAATGAAATTTCAATTATATTTAGCTAGTGTCTGGCAGACACGCCTGGTTGTTTGTAAGAGCTCTGCTTGTTTGAAGGGGTGGGGTAGCGGCCCTGGATATAATCTAAAACAGCACGTAGCCGGTGACCTAAAATGCTCTCCAAGAGAGGAGATAAAAGTTAAGACAAACCCACTCCTCATTCAGTGGCGTATACAGGTAGTCCTCGACTTACGACAGTTCGTTTAGTGACTGTTTAGAGTTACAATGGCACTGGAAAAAAGCAACTTATGACCATTTTTCATACTTACGACCACATCTCCATGGTCACGTGATTAAAACCCAGACATTTGGCAACTGACTTATATTTACGACATATTTATGACCAGCAAGGTCAATGGCGGAGTTAGATTCACTCAGCCACAGTTTGACTAGTTCTGTGATGGCGAACCTATGGCATGCGTGCCACAGGTGGCACGCAGAGCCATTTGTGTGGGCACGCAAGCCCCAGCCAAACTTACCTGCACTGCGCATGCGCATGCCTCCCAACTGATTTTCGGCCCGTTTGAGGCCATTTTTGCCCTCCCCGAGGCTTGAGGGAAGCCTCTGCAGCCTCGGGAGGCTGAAAAACGGGCCTTCTGAAAATACCAGAAGTGCCAAAACAGGCCTGTTTTTCAGCCTCTCGAGGCTGCAGAGGCTTCCTTAGAGCCTCCGGGGAAGGTGAAAATGGCCTCAAACGGGCCGAAAATCAGCTGGGAAGTGCATACCTGCACAGGTAAAGGGGGCAGAGCGAGGGTGTTGCGCACGCATGTGCAAGGGGGGGGGCGGAGCACATTGCAATGTGGGTGCCCGCGTGCATGCTTTCGGCATACCGCAACAAGGTTTGCCATCACTGGACTAGTTTAACAACTGCAGTGATTCACTTAACAACGATGGCAAGAAAAGTCGCGAAATGGGGCAAACTCGCTTAACGAATGTTTCACTTGGCAACAGAGTTCTTAGGCTCAATTGTGTTCTTAGGTCAAGGGCTGCCTGTGTAAGGCTGCCTTAAAAGTCCCTGACAGAGAGAAGAATAATCTTAAAATCTCACCTGCTTATGCATTTCGATGTTGAGGCCATAGGACATCTCGTAATACTGGAAGGAAAGAAAAAGAGAGGGAGGGAGAAAAAAAATTAAAATATATCCTTGTTAGATTAAATCTAGGCCTGTTTCCTGTCTCCTAATTTCTGGAGTTGCCCGTACAGGATTTGAACCCAACCCCTGATTTTACTAAAAGAGAAGTACTCCATATTATGATTGTGGCTGGTCATAGCTTCTCTTTAGGCAAGCAATGGGCCGTGTGTGACAAGATTAGAAACAGACAAAGTTGTGTATTCTCCGTCTCGGGAGGGATTTTAAGATTCTGTGATTGCAAAGAGCTAGACTAGATGACCCTTGGAAGCCCCTTCACAATTCTTGGCGCTTTCCGATTTTCCTGCCAATTGCAAAAGGGTGGAATAGACCACCTTTAGGGATCCCTTTCCACACCACAATTCTGACACCAACTAGTTTTCCTACCCACTGCAAAGGGATGGAATAGGTGACCTTTAGGGGGTCCCTTCCCAGTCTACAATTCTATCTGGCTTTCCTGCCCATTGCAAAGGACTGATTACCTTTCGGGCTCCCTTCCCACTCCGCAATTCTGACACACTAACTTGATTTTTCTGCCCACTGCAAAGGGCTGGACTAGGTGACCTTTGGAAGCCCCTTTCCAGTCCACAATTCTGACACACTAACTGGTTTTCCTGCCCATTGCAAAGGGCTGGATTAGGTGACCCTTGGAAGCCCCTTCCCAGTCCACAATTCTATTACTCTCTCCATTGCAAAGGGATAGCTTAGATGACCCTTGGAGGCCCCTCCCTACTCAACAATTCTATGAATCTCAGCAACAGGAAACAAAACAAAAACCCTTTTGAATTTTAGAAGAGGAACAGCACCCCATACAATTTCTCTGCCCTTTCCATGCGCTTGCAATTTTGCCACACCCACAATTAAAATTCCTTCCTGGCACGGGATTTAAATCAAAGTTCCCCTCTGCGGCCAACAAATTATTATTATTAAAATAGTTTTACTGTAACAGAGCACTGGGGCAAGAGAAGATACGGAAGTGGGAAAAGGATAAACAAGATTTAAGAGGAAAGGAAATGGCTGAACCAAGAAAAAGTTTGCATACCGGAAGTCCTCGATTTAAAACAGTTCAGTTAGTGACTATTTAAAGTTACAATGGCACTGAAAAAAAGAGACTTATGGTTGTTTTTCACACTTACGGCTAGCATCCCTGTTTTCCTGCGATAAAAAATTGGTAGACTTAGCAACTGGCATGTATCTATGACCGTTGCATTGGTGAACAACTGCATTGGTTCACTTAATAACTGTGGCAAGAATGGTCATTCAAATGAGGCAAAATTCACTTAACAACTGTCTCATTTACCAACAGAAATGTTGGACTCAATTGTGGTCGTAAGTCAAGGATTACCCGTATAGAATATGTGCATATTGATTTTGGTCACAACTTGCCCCTGGTTCTGGCCCCACCCCCTTTAACTTTGGCCCCGCCCACAAGCCAGCTTTTGCTTAAGCCAAGGCAATTTTAGGGAAACGGAATTAAGATTTAATTCTGCAGATCGTGCCAGAAGGCTGCTAACCAAGTTAAGACCAAGCCATGATTTTGGACACAACCAGGATAAATTTGGTTTGATCATGAGCCGCCTCTGCCTTCCAAAGCAAACCAAAAAGGAATTTAAGGCATTAAAAAAAATTTCCCCACACAAAACTGCTCTTGCATTCATTTATTTACTTTTTCTTTGCTTTTCATTGTTCCTTGCGCAACCTACACACTTAAACAGTGGGGAAAAAATCACCAGCAACAGATGATCAAAATATATACCAGTAGTCCTTGACTTATGTTCACTCACCTAGTGACTATTCAGACGCCCGGCAACCAGGCTCAATTTTATGCCCATTTGCATCCTCTTAGGCTCACATAACTAAGTTTTGTGACATTTTTGCCAAATGTTTGGCATTTTCTTTCGGTTTTTGGCAAAACCAAAACCAGAGTGAATCATTAGTTCATTTTATGCCTGTGACGTTCATTTAATGATTGCGTTGCTTCGCTTAATAACACCACAGGAAAAGGTTGTGGAATCATAAAATAACACGATCAATTTTGTTTTAATGCCACAAGTTAGAACTGCAGTGGGCAGCCTCAATCACGGTCATCACTCAAGGATTACTTTCATGGTTGTAGATCACATGGAGAAATATTGCTAATTCCAAAATTTTATGGCCAGAAAGTTCAGGTTTTGTAGTCAGAAAACCTCAATGTATCCCTGGTACACGTAAGTTCTCAACTTACAACTATTTGCTTAGTGACCATTTAAAATTATGGCATCACTGAAAAAAGGTAATTTGTGAGATTTGTCACACTTAAAGCTAGCAACCCCTTGATCGTGTGATCAAAATTTGGACGCCTGGAACCTGGCCTGTATTTATGACAGTTCCAGAGTCCTGGGATCAGCCAATGGGGAAGCCAGATTCATTTAACAACCGTGTTACTAACTTAACTGTAAATGATTCACTTAACAACCGTGATAAGAAAGGTCATAAAATGGGTCAAAACTCACTTAATGACTGTCTTGCTTAGCAATGGGAAATTTTGGGCTCACTTGTGGTCCTAGGTAGAGGATCAACAGCGCATTGTTTTCCCCTAAATGCCATCTCTGAACTCTGTAGATGGTTCAAGGAACACTTCCCAAAACTCACACAAAATCAACATGATTTGATGGATATTGAAAATATTGCCAAAATATAAAATGTCATCAGTCTTCTCCTTCTTTAAAAAAAAAACAACAACCGGTTTTTTTTCCCTGTGAAAAATATTTTATTGATCCTTAAGTCAAATGAATTTCGTATTGTCTTTTTTAGCGGATTCAATAAATAAGTTTTCTACGAATGGGTCCATTTTAATTTTTAATACTGTAAAATATATAACCTATGCCAACAAAAGCTCTGTTTGGGGCGTCCTCCATGACTTTCAAAATTGGGAAAGGAGGCCGAAACGCTGACTTAGATTAAAATTAAACCCCAATCCTGCACATTTTAATCCACTTAACATCAGAGAGAGCCGAAGTGTTGCCCCCTCCCTTTGCAACCAGACACATTTCTTTAAAGTAGCCACCATGCCATGGGGGGGGGGCACTCTGGAATTAACCAAATTCAATCCTTCTGGCTCACCTTAACTGCTTTTTGCAGGGGGGGGGATCTAAACGCTCCTCATTAAGGACTAGAAACTTGACAAGGCAGAGGGTTTGGCTCACTGGGGGTTCCGGCTTCTAAATGGAAGAAGTGGGCACAGGAGGCGGCTTGTGGCTTTTCTTGACTCTCATGAAAGGTTAGTATGTGCTTTTTCTTTTCTTTTTTCTTTTTTGCCCTTTTCTTTTTAATTGAATTTCCTAGGAAATACAAAGCATTTTTTATGTCTTATCTCTCTGCTCCAGAGAAGGTGTGGCAGCCTCTTTCTGGAGGGCCTGGGAACTGGTTTCACTCAAGGCTAACAACATCCATCACCTTGAATCTTGGCAGCAGCAACAGGCACAGCTGGCCACCTCCAACCGGCACGTCAAGGAGAGCTAGCTAGCTATGTCCTGATAAAAAAGCTAAATAAATAAAATAATAAGCCAGGGCCTAACGCAGCTGCCTGGGTGACTTATGCAAAACAGTCACGCCTTGGTTTTGCAAAAAACCAAACCAAACCAAAACAAAAAAACCCATATACACGACAAGAGCCTGAATAAAGGACATAAAAGAAATTCCTTCCAGAAGGCTACAGAATCCTTGTTCCTGTTTTGGGGGGGATCTTGCCAGGGCCTCCTTAAACTTCTAGTCCTCAAGAGAAAGAAAGGGGGGAAAAGAAAGACAAAATGGCAAAAGAAGGAAGGAAGGAAGGAAGGAAGGAAGGAAGGAAGGAAGGAAGGAAGGAAGAAAGAAAGAAAGAAAGAAAGAAAGAAAGAAAGAAAGAAAGAAAG